CGAGACGCTTTGAAAAAAAATCAATGCTTCCTTCGTTTAGCTTTTACTCGCGTCCCAATGAAATTCGAGTAAATCGTGGTCGTATCGATTTCAAAAAGAGAAATAAAGTAAAAGAAAAAGAAAAAAATGAGGGGGAGAGGGAAAGAAAAGCTGCGTCCATGGAAAAAAAAATCGAATATACGATCGCGTTATCTTCATCCTCTTTGTTCTCCTATAATTTCGACGATTTCAAAGGTTCCAAATGGTAAAAACCTCGTTGTCGTTTCTTTTCTTTCCGATAGGAGGAGGCACGCGGGCAAAAGATAAGAGAGGACTGTAAGCTAAGAAGACTACACAAAGCCACGAAACGATTTTATCAATGAACCTTTGAGTCGAGGCTCGTTGATATAATCGCCGATGCCAGAGCGAGAGAAAGAGAGAGGCGCGCGCGGGCGCGTGTATACGTGCGTTTACGTCGCCGACAGCTATTCGGAATGCGCGCTGTCGAGAAGAGAGCGTGCAAACCATGCACCGGGTGTGTCGTCGTCGTCGTCGTCGTCGTTACGACGTAGTACGTGCATGACAATTTCTTCGAAGGTACGTGCAACCACGCGAGACGCTATCTCCGGAGCAGTCTCGTCTTAGACGAGCGTCTAAACGAAACAACTTTTATAATTGATATCTTCAAAATGGACAATAACGTCACCCATTAAAACATTCGCCTTCTCGTCTTTAGGAAAGAGGTCGATCGATGTTTTACACGTACGACGAGCCCCTTTAATAACGTCGATCGATAGCATTAACCGAAATATTGAAAGATTCGAGACGTCCCTCTCTCCGCCAGTCGATTAATAATAATAACGCGATCCATGCTGATGTACTCGGACCACGGAAATCCGCGTTCTTTGGTTATTTCAGATTTCGATGTAGTGTAACTCATTCCCGTATTGTCGATGTTCCAGCGAGATAAGACGAATTAGTGAAAATCATCGATCCGATAAAAATCCGTTTTGGGAAAACAAAGAGAGCTTCTTCGCGCTACGACGATGATAAAAACATTCTTGGCTCGAGATTAGGTGGTCTTCTTGCCCAAATAGCTCGATCGGCGTTTAACGCGGCGTTATCTAGCGTCGTCGCCTCTTTTATCGCTTCGCGTGATCGCGACGAGGAATATAACACACGAAGTCGACACGAAGTCGAACTTTCTTTCGTAATTCCGTACGGGCGTTGTTCGGCTTCGAAGAAGCTCTTCGAGACGCGATTCGTCGATATATTTTTCTCCTTTATCTCAAGCGAGAGCAAAGGATCGCGCGGCGTCTATACCTACCAACTACCTACACACGTACTCGTCGTCTACGATCGTAAATAACATTTAATATCAGTAAATCTTAGTGGCCATTCGGCTCCGAATAGACACGTAACGCAGACGTATTTTTGAAAGACGTCGATTTCCCGAATGATCGAAAGAAAAAATTGTGGAGAGAGAAAGTACGCGCTTGCAGCGGAGATAACCTTTGAAACGACCCCGCCTCGTGTTATCGTCGACCGTTATCGACGTCAGGCTTCGCTTTTTTAAAACGTTCTCTCACCCCCGTGCTCCGCTCTCGATAGAAATAATACGATTCCGAGAGGGGAGTCGAGAGAGAGAGAGAGAGAGAGGATCGATACTAGGAAGCAGGCTCGGAGGAGAGAAGAAAAGTGCGCGTTCACGCGCTCCGAAGGAAAATAATAGAAGGATCCCGTCATTTTTCTCGGCTCTTAACACGATCTTCGATAGAAGAAAAGTTCCTTGGCGTGCAAGGATATCACGTAGAAAAGTAAAGATTTGATTTCGAGGAAAGGTGGTGGTGGCGACGGCGGCGGCCGAGTCGAGTAGGAGAGCCAAGCCCAGGGAAAGAGGGTGCGCGCCAGGGACGGATGCGTGGGTGGTCCTGGATATGACTCTGAGAGAAGCTGCGACTAGCCCGGTCCGATCGATATCTGCACCGCAGTGCCGCGGCGCCCTCGACTACGTAGAGCAGTACCGACTCTGCTCCGAGATAATCTTCTTCTTCTTCTTCTTCTTCTTCTTCTTCTTCTTCTTCTTCTTCTTCTTCTTCTTCTTCTTCTTCTTCTTCTTCTTCTCGAGAAGTTCTAAGAAGAACTGCTGGTACCAGCACGCGAGAGGAGAAGCCAATGAAAATAAAGGACCGACGAAAAGGAACGTATCGTCGATATTGCCGAACCACCGAAAGGACACACCATCACGTCGACTTGTTTCGAGTCGAACCAAGGGAAAAGGAATTTGCCCGTTTCGCTCCATCCTCCCATCTTTCTCTCTGACTCAACTATGACTCATTCACATCTATTTACGAGCGAGCTCTACAAATATTTACGTAGGTGGTAGACTCGTATTCCTCAAGCTCCTGCTACTTTGTTAAGCGCGGCCGAATTTACGCGTACGCAACCCCTTACATATCGTTTGCACTTTATGGAAAAAGAGAGAAAATTTTTCCTTCTTAATCCGTAAAGAGATACTCCCCTCCCGCGCGAAAAGAAGAGTCGTTCGTTGTCTTTCTTAAATACTACTTGAAAATCAGGCCGAGACGTTTGGTCTCTCTCGCCTCGGAAAAGTACGGAAGCAGCGTAGAGAGAGAGAGGGAGAGAGGGGGAGAGAGAGAGAGAGAGAGAGAGAGAGGGCCGCAAAAGAACGTTCGTTTATCGCGCGAGACGAGACAAAGAGCTTGGTATTTTCTAAAGAGAGTTCATTGACAGTCGTCAAACAGAAGGGGAAGCGCGATCTCGAAGGCTCGAACAAAAGCCTCCCGCAATCGTTATCTCGGCACTTATCGCACAAACAGCTGTTCGATGGAGCTCTACCATGAAAAGGATCTTTGACGTATCGCAACGTTGGCCCGGAACTAATTCCAATGAACGGACGAAAAAATAGCCGTGGTAAAAGTATCAGCCGCTATCGAATCTGCGCGTAGAAAAATCGATCCGGATCGGCGGCAGCGCGCGGGAAGAACTCGTAAGAGGGCTTCGAGGGTGACGGGGAGGAAAGGAGACCGATTTACGATGCGACTTACGATCCGTACTTTGACGTTCGCGTGCGAGCTAGAGCATAAATATGGACGTAAATAGGAAGATGCGGTTGAACGAGGAGGATGAGAAATATCGAGCGAGCGATCGTTAAGAGAGAGAGAGAGAGAGAGAGAGAGAGAGAGAGACGTTCGTTACGCAACCACGGCCAAGATTGTCGAGGATCGATCTCGCAGTCGTTCCAAGAAATGAAAACTCGGTCCGATCGATCGATCGATCGATCGATCCTATAACCAGGGGGTTGTTAGTCAAAACGACGAGCTAAGCCTTATTTTATTTTCAAGGAGAAATTTTGTCGATTCCTCCGAAAATTCTTGCTACTGTATATTCCGTTAAGGGCACGACCGAGTATCTTTTCTAAAATAAACGACAATACGTAGAAAGGGAAAAATATCGGGATCTCCAAGGGCTTAGAGAAGCAAGAAGAGGCGGACAAAAACAAACAAGGAAGAACCCCGTCGCGTCGTTGCTGCCAATTCTAAGAGAGAAAGCACGTTCGTTGCACGCTCGCTGCGCTCTCTTCCTGCGCTCTCTCGCTGCACCGACCGACCGACCGACCGACCGACCGACCGACCGACAAAATTTCATACGACCGAACCAGTTTGGCCCGATTCAGGTAGTCGCTCCGCTATTTGAATAGCCGCGTCGTCCTCGAACGAATTAGAAATTCTTACGATGAGAAAGTGTTATACGTTTCGTCGAGGATTAAGCGCTTAACAAGATTTCCAAACATTTTTTCGCGCACTGATCAAAGACAATTTATGCGATCAAAGTGACCGAGTCAATTAATTATTTACTCCTCCCGTCTTTACTTTTCTCATCGATCGTTATACCCATATTTTTGTCTTTAGCCTCCTTTTTTGACGTCGAACCTCAAACGTCCTCTACTTACGCGTGGGACACGCGGGTTCTTCTTCATCGTCTTCTTCCTTTTCTTTTTACGCGCATCTTAATATCTTAGGCCAATAATGAGACGACCCAAAACGTCGATGATAAACTTTTTATCGCGACTGCCGGAACTACGTCGGACGAAAAAAATTACATTTTTATTATTCCTATAACGTCCGGCGTATTTTTCGATCGGCTCTCGACGTTCTCGAAAAGCGTGCATTATCTATCTGGAAGGAGCACGTTCCAAGAAGCAGATCTTTTTCTCTCCCCCTCTTTCCGTGTTCGTGCTACGAAGAAAGATCTCTCTATTCCTTAAATAAACTCTCGTGGAATTCACGATGCGTCCTATAGCCTCGAAGGCATGCTAGTCGCCGAGGCGTCCCTCTGTCCGCGACCACGAAAGCGAGACTATCGCTCTCCCCTCCCCCATCTATGGCCTGCACGTCTCTCTCTCTCTCTCTCTCTCTTTCTAGATCGCCTGCTTTTAACCTCTAACGAGACCCCTTTGTTGGGAAAAAGGATACGTCTTTTGCTCGTCGATGAAACGAAATGCATGTGTTTACCAATGCTAACGCGTAAATATATCAAGTCAATGAAATAAACAAAGAGAGAAAATAAAAACAAACTCGAACGAATTAAAAAGAAGATATACACGCGACGATGGAACAATGTGCATTCATTTTTTACAAAGTCGTTTATTTTTCTCTTTTTCTTTTCTCATTTCCGCTAATAAACTCGAAAGAAAAAGTAAAATGCGATTCGACCGTGGAATACGACTTGTACGCTCGAAGCGCCATCTATCGAACCGACGCCTTGCGAGGAGAGAGCACGTCGCGCCGAGAGGCCGGCGCTCTCTCTTTCTCTCTCTCTCTCTCTCTCTCTCTCTCTCTCTCTCTCTCTTTCTCTCGGTCTCGCAATGTCTCTCTATAATCCATCCAGCGTCTATCGACGCAAAGTGAGACGTAGGATTAAAAGCTGAAGTGAAAAATTTGATCGATTCGAAGGTGAAAAAGAAGGGAAGGAAAAAAGATAATGATCAGCTCACTTACAGGGTAGTACATCCCTTGCGGAGGAAGGAAGAACGCCCCAGAGCCCCACAGTTTGAGGCCGTTTTGCTCCACCGTTGTGCGAAAAAAAATCCGTCACTGGTTACCTCCGGCCCTCCGTCTCCCGTTCTCACCCACCTTCCACTTTCCTCTCTCTTTTACTCTCGATCAGTTTCTATCAATTACTTTTTCTCGAATCGCTTTGCGGATCTCTCCTCTTCCTCCAGCACCTCCACGAGAAAGCGTAGCCACGTAAATGGCAAGAATCTTTTTTCGCCGTAAATCTTGTTATGGGTTTGCCTTGCGAAAAATAACACCACAACACTCTAAAGTATCTCGGCCGAGAGAACGACACGGCGGCGTCGTCGAGAGACAAAGTGCGATGCGCTCTCTCTTTCCTCCCCCTCTCTCGCTCTCTCTCTCTCTCTCTCTCTCTCTCTCTCCCTCTCTCTCTCTCCCTCTCTCTCTCTCGCTCCAAACTCTCGCGCACGCACTGGGGCGCGCGCGCGCGCGCCAAGGCGATTTCTCGAACGCACCAACAACCGCGTACGGCCGAGGAGGAATCGACGACGAAGATGAACGCGCGATCCGCTTTGTAAATGATCGAGAAACGCTGCCAACGATTCCTTTCTTCTTCCTCGTCTTGATTCGTCAAATTTGTGCTCTCTCTCTCTCTCTCTTACTCGTTTTTACTCGCTATCGCTCGTCCGTACAAACTCGTCAACGACCGTCACCGTGCGTGGTGGCTCTACGACTGACTCTCTCGCGCATCCATTCGTCGCCATCGATGCGCTTAGCGCCACCTACTTCTACCATCTATTGACTATCGCACCGCCTATCGTCAGCCAAACGAACCTGCCAACGCGCTTCTATCCGCGTTACGAATATACCTGGTGTTCGATGAATTCGCGATATTCGATAGGTATAGCGATGATTGTACCGTATCGATGTGTTAGGGATTATATCGAAACGAATTTCATGAGATTCTTCGTTTCCAACCTTTTCCCATAAATTTTCGATACGAATATGAAAATGAAGCGGTTTTTTTTTAAAAGAGTGTCGCGTGACATTAAAAAGTTTAACACGTTCGAGAGAGACAGAGAAAGGGTGAAAAACGAGCGACTACTAAAAAATAAATATCAAAGGTATCTCGAAAAGTTAATCGATACGATCGCGATACATTCTCCAGTTTGAGAATCGTTAACGACGCAACTCGGGGTGCACCGTGTATTTTTAGAAGCACGGCTATACCGGACGGATCCTTGTACGTCGGAGCTTGCAGCTGCGACGCACATGCGCCCGCTCTCGCCGGCAAACCCTACGCGTCGTGCGCTACGTGCACCTCGTGCGCGCGACGCCATTTCGAATCCTGTCTTCTCCTCGCTCGCACCGTTCTGACACTATAAATGTTTTATGCCCCCTACTTCGGCCTCGAGGGTCAAAGAGAGAGAGAGAGAGAGAGAGAAAGGGCCGAGCGGGGAGGATCAATTTATCGACCGTCAGAGGAGAGAGATACAAACTCCTTCAACTTGGATGCTGCGATCGACCGTCTTTTCGTCTCAACCTGCTATCCGATCTATCCGCATTCGTTGATGTATTATTTAAACCATTGTTTCTATGCCCTCCTCTCTCATCAAAAATAGAATTAATTTTATATCGTTGCTGCGAGATCGATCTCGAAGGCTTCTGAACCTGAGCTGGAGAGAGAAAAAGAATCAACTTATATCCTCCGAATGTTAAAATATTTATATAAACGGATCGAAATACATAGAATTAGAATTGATCTTTGTAAATACTCGTCAGCTTTGAATAAACGTCGATTACGCTTTGAAGATATACGTAACATTCCTCCGACCACGAAGCATCGATAAAGTTGTTAACGCAACTTGAAAGCTCCTTCTCTCTTCCCCCTGCCTTCAACGAGGGGGAAATACTAAAGTGGCGTCTCCATGACAACTACGAGGGAGTATCGGAGTCGAGTGCAGAATCAACTACCGATCTCTGACACCACTGAAAACTGTCGTCTAGTTTTCTGCTCGGAACGAAAAATAATCTTTCGATTTTAATATCTCGTAGAGTTGTGTACGAAAGGATACTTTCCAAGTAAAGAGAGAAGAATGAGAGTTTTTATTCCGATCGACGTCACGAGAATGAAATATATATACATGCAATATATATATATATATACACGCTCTATATATATACATATACATATATATATATATATATGCATAAATGTATATGTAGGTATATTGGGGGATGCGAGAGAAGTACGATTTTATTCCGAGTAAAGTTAAAGGTTGCGTCCCGAGGCGCGATAGAAATAAAGTACGAACGAGTGGCACTCGATGACGAGAGCTGCCGCCTGGATTCTCGAAAGTCCGTTCTCTCTTCGGCTTCGGCCCGAAAGAAGAAACGCGTACTAAATATATCCTCGAGCACGATCGTAATTTTCACCGACTCTTTCTCTCTCTTCTCTCTCTCTCTCTCTCTCTCTCTCTCGCACACACTCGCTCTCTCCGTCTTTCGTCACCAATCCGACTAGTACCTTCGAAAGTGTCTTCTTCGTATATCGATATTTCCTATAAACTTAATAGTTTATTCAAATTAAAAAGATATTAACAACCATAAATGGTGCAAGTATCGTACTCGAGAGTCACTAGTGTAACGAGTAACACTCTGAATGGTATTTAATAAGCATCTTAAAATAGGAGGAATAGCCTGCCATCTTTCCGTTTGGTGTCTTCGAAGAGATTACGCCACGTCATGCGTTTTTTTTTTCTTTTTCTTTACCAACCATATCCAAAGTTTGTCTATTTCTCTAAGGATACGTATACAGTGTACAGCCTCCAGAGGAGAGACTTTACACGCGCATAAACATTTCGTCGTCGATTTTAAACGTGGCTCGAACGTGCTCTAAACTTTCGACTTCCGCGCGCGCGCGCGCGTCTTTCGCGCGTTTCTCTCTTCTATAAACACGAAAGAGAAATCTTTCGATCTCTTTGAGAAATTCTTAGAAGCGTATTCCTTTAATTTTCCAATCGCAAAAACATCATCTTCTTAGAACGCTACAAATTTCGACTCTCTTCGATGTTATTTCAATGACACACTATTACGATCATTCTATTTATTACTATCGATAGCGTATCTATGATAAATAAAAGCACAGATATCTGCATAAGCGACGGAAGAACTTGTCCGAGGTGCAAAGAGAAAACTGTTGTATCGACGTAGACGATACCGACTAACGATACACGCGCATTTGTAGTTGATCAGTACAATTAATAACGATATAAGATGACATTTATAGGGTGCCTCTCTGATCCAACGCTTTCACGTTTCGTAAAAGATAATCTCTAGTATTAAAGAATTTTATCATTTTATTATTCATTCGAACGTTGATAAGACAGAACACCAGATGTCGCCGATAAGGTAGGAATTCTATCGATCTTCCTCTCGTCGTCTACGTACGTTCTTTCTTTTCAAGCGACTTCTAATTTCTATATACAACGAATTCGATCGAATTAGATCGAAATTTTGTTCAAACGTACAGGATACCGATGTATGATCGACACCGACGTGAGATGGTGCTAACGTCTTTTAATTTACAGATGATTAAAACGAATGAAAGAAAAAAAAAGGCAACGTAAAAGAAAATGGCCTCTTTACAGTTTACACGAGTTTTACAAATTTTTAAAAGCTCTTTTACATGAGCGAAATGAATCGATGAAAGATTCGTTCGATCGTGTCGAATCGATATAGAAAGAAAAAGGAAACTCTTCGGAAAAGCTTCGTATCATGCGTATGTAATGCAATGAAAAGTAAAGGAGGATCGGTGGTCGTACGTAGTGACAACGTAACATTTGATCGAAGAATCGACCTTTATAATACGTTCGAATTGCTAATTTTGCGATATTTATCGTACCAATCCTCAAGTAGCCGAGGGCGCCGCTGCTATTCGTTACGATGAATGTCGAAATGACGATCGGGACGTTTCTTTCTTTCAAGTAGATGAAACAAACCTACCCATATTTCCCAATTTAGCTGCTCCCATTCATAGTTGAGGCAAAAGTTGATTCTTATATTACGCAAATGTACTCTTCGAAGGTTCTCTTCGATGAATTTTCTGCTGCGAGCATCGATGATACGACGAGACGAACGCATGGCGCTAGAAAACGGTCCTACGAATCACTTTCGAACGTATTTTTTAGGCGCGCTTCGTAGAACGTCCGACGGTGCTGGCATCTCGCGATTGCAAGTTTTCTCCTTACGAAGAGAATCGACGTCGATAATTCTACCTACGGCATAATAGATTTATCTGCTTCGTCGATCGATGTCGCTGCTAGCTTCGTCTCGAAAAAAAGAAAGAAAAGAAAATTCAACGGAAACGTCGTCAAATCAAGTATCGAATTAATATCGTAAAATATTCAATCACTTTTAAGTAGAACCATGGCCGGTGAGCGCTTATTCGTCCAAAATAATAATGTTTATTCGGACTTTTATCGGTATCGTCGAATAAATCGCGCTAGACTTGATCGCACATTACAACTTTGAAATTGGATTGGCCTCGAGCGCGCTGCAAATTTACGATCAAACGTGCACGAATACGAGTGCGTTACGCGAATATGTTGCACGGAGAGAAACGAAAGTTATTCTCATTATTTTCCCTTTGAATAAATAAAACCGTCATATCGCGTAGCGAGTGTTTCGGCAGGCTGGCGCCGGGGGGTGGGGAGTGGGAGAGGAGAGGAGAGGAGAGAGAGAGAGAGAGAGAGAGAGAGAGAGAGAGAGAGAGAGAGAAAGAGCATTGCGCAGCAATAGAAAACCACCAAGCATTTTTTTCTTTTTCATTAAATTCCTTCGTTACGGCACTTGCGTTTTCGCGGCTACCGCATAAATTCTTGCATGAAAACGCCATGCAAATGTAAGTATAGAATAAAAGTTCATTGTACCTGGACCCAGTTTTGCCGATTTTTCGACGCTTCTCTTTACGTTCGAGCTTCGAGCGGAACGACGAATTTATCAATCGACGAACGCCTAAAAAGAATGACGTCTATCTTTTCTAATCGCACCGTATTAATTCAGTTTCTTCCTCGCTAAACTCGATCTTTTCACGACATATTTTCGCCATACTTCGCAGAGGGATTCCGTTTCAATTCGAAAGAAATATCGCGAATCGTTCGATGGGCAAAAGGGAAAATGTTATTATGATTCCATTTCATCCGTTCACTTCCGTTCGGGTTCTTGCGGGGATCATTGAAACATCCCACGTTATTAATTCTGTCGTTTGCGTTAAAAGAGTAGAGAAGAGAAGAGAAGAGAAGATTTTTCAGCGAGTTCTCAATGCATTTCCCAGGGGTTTATTCTCTCTTTCTCTCCCACTCGAGTTCTTCCAGACTCTTTATTTTCGCCCTTTCGCACCGGATATATCCCGCCGCATATCCACGATTCTAATTCAATAGCACGATTTTCTCTGAGGAAATCTTTAACCATGGAATAGCGCGTCATACATGCGCAGGACAGGTACATACGCGTAACCTAACCGAGCAGGCTCTGGAAAAACTTTAAACTTCAAACTTCAAACGACAAGCGATAAGCAGAAGAATATGGAAAGAAATAAAACAGAAATGCGTTTGTCTTCTCTCGAAAGAGGAGACAAACGAATTCTCGTGCGATATTAGATGGTACATCGGTGATACAGGAGAACTCCTTAGCTATATACGGAATTGAGAATAATGCGTAAAGTCCGTACTAAATAAGACACGCGTATATAGGTACGCTACGTGCATATACATATGTATATATCGCCTATACCTACGTATATCGGTATTCGAGCCGCTCGGCTCGAATGTCTGCGGTAAAAACCGTGGGATGAATTATGCATGACGTCGTAAAATATCAACGCATTATCGTCCGGTTTATATCGGAGATAGGAAAAATTCAAGAAAACTCACGAAACTTGTGTCTTCTCTTACAAATCGAAGCTCTTTCTTTCTCTCTCTTTTTTTCCTCTTTTGGCCGCTCTCTTTGGACTCTCCGAAGACGTTTCTTCGAAATGAATGAAATGAAAGTGTGG